ATTTTTACATTGAAAATCTCTTAAGCTTTTTGGTCCAACCGAGGTCTCATTTAAAACTAATTTGCAACAATTTGTGTTTAAGATAACAACAACAGATGTTTAAGTTCCCAAGGTAACTTTGAACAAATACTTGTAAGTTGCCCAAAAGCTGTCGAAATCGAACTATAAATTTTCAATGGCCCAGTCAATGATCGGTCAATCAGTGAGGTCTAGTATTGAAGAGAGAATATTTTTATGATGTCAGCATGTTCTAATGCAAAAAACGGGTAAAATAAGGTCAACACCTCCCTCATCCTCCCAATTGCTTAATATAATTTTTTTCGAACTTTCTGTTGCCTTTACATCGCATCTATCGGTCTATATGTAAGAAATCTTAATGAAGTTCAGAAAGAATATATTTCTAATAGCTTCTTGCCTAAAATGGATGAAATCACGGTGATACTCTGCCTAGTTTAATATATATAGTTTTGCCAACACCTAAAGATCTTTCCCGTCTTTGATCCTTTGCGAGACTAGAAAATTTCCAGTCACACTTAGCCTTTTCTTACTTATTCTAATTGAAATTAATTATATAATATATATGTTATTTGGAGGTTACTGCCTCCACATCCTCCTTTTAAAAATTCGTGGCGAGCAGCAAACAAATAAAACTGAAATAAAAGGCAAGAACTTTCAAAAAATGTACAACGTTTAAACAGCGGCAGCAATGCTCCCTTTTCTTCAATATGCAATCAGGCGTTATCAATAAAATGAGAAGCCTTTACTTTACAAAGCAAAGGCACACACAAACATACTTTTTCTTGAAGTCATTCGTTCAAATAAATTCTAAAGCTGCAGTGATTACAATCGAAGGCGAACTTAGACAGTAGTAGACGAAGAGAAGAGGCAAAACTTAGAAATGTAAACCCACCAATTCCGCTTGCAAGAGCAGATTAGCTGACAAGCCGCCGTTGGCTGGACCCTGTGGACCGAAGGTAGCGAAACTACTTAATAACTAATTTCTTAAATCAACATGTTGGTCAAGAGCAATATAATAATTTTGCAATGCTTAAATTAAATTTATTCGCTGAATTTTCCGGTTTTGTATTATTTTTGGTTTACCACTGGCTGTGACTAAATTTCGGATTTATTTGACCTTACATAATAGAAATGCAACGTTGTGCCAATATTGCCGAAGCTGCATTTGATTAAGGCATAATTTGCCCAGGTCAGCCGCATTACTTTGAATGAAATTGCAAAATACAACAACAATGCAGGGCACTTCGCGTTCGTTGCAAATGCAACCAATTTCAATGCAGGTTCGTCGAGTGCAGGGACAATTGTACAGTGAATGCCTCATAATCACAACCATCCGAGTACAAAGTACAGCTCTTTAAAGATTGCAAAATTTCCGTTTACAATTTCAATTAAATAATACTTGAATTGAAATTTAATTGAAGATAGATAGAATTGTATGAGGTTTGCACCGCGACTAGGGTCTATTATCCCCTTTTATTGAAGATAAAACTCTCGCGATTGTTTGTCTCAATTATCAAGGGAGCACCGTAGAGATTTGTTTTTATATTTTATTTGGTTTGAGCTCTGTAGCCACCAGTCGCAGGATCTTCCACTATCCACTAAAGTATGAGTCCTTCTCCGCCAGCATTTCTATTTGCATTTAATTAAAGAAGAATTGTGAAGGTTCTGTTTTATTTGCAATTCAAAGGAGTCTCCACTGCTCACAATCCAATGTCAAACCGTAACTGCATCCATTTTTGCAAAATTTAAATTGTAAACAGAGCAGTATTAATGAAAATAATGGTAACAATGGCAACAACGGCAGCAACACCATAAATACAAGTACAGATTCTAAAACTTTGTGTGCAAAATATTGCTTACGACCAGGTAGTTGTAGTTGTTGCTATTGCTGCGCGGATATGAAAACTTTCACTTTGACACACAACAACGCAGCGAAATTCATCTCACCCCTCACTCTCTTCTCCCTAGCAGCAGCAGTCCGCACTTTGTCCGTTTTTCCTGCGGCCAAAAGCGACCTTGTGAGCAAACTAACTCGGCTACTGACAAAGCGACGAGCAAACAACGCTACGGTGACAGCTAAGTGTCAGCCGAGAGGCAACAAACGTCAACCGTCAGGATGGCAGAGCGAAAGCAAAATTCGAATAAGTGGGCAACTGAGCGAGCTTGAAAGTCACGTTTACTAACTGTAACATGGCTAGAGCGATCTGTAGTTTCTTTCCAAAGACCAATAGTTGATACATGTTTTCAAAAAACTTTCGGATTTGGAAAACGTTCAAATTTCTCATGTTGACTATCTAAGTAAAACTGCCACATTTCTAATTCTCATTTGCTTGAAGGCAACAAAAGAACTATCAAACAAGCCCCAAGCCCGTCGCAGAAATACCAAACGGTGGTAGGCATAAGATAATAGCGTGAAGGGGCGAGATGCCTAGTTATCACAAAATTATGATAAATGTAAAATAAGTCCAGTTTAAGAACCGCACGTGCAATACCAGTACTTGAACTAAATGGAGTGGGAAAGAGAAGATAAATAGTGCAGAAAGAGCAACGAAGGCTTTGAAATGCTATAAAGCTCTTCTATCAGCACGCGTCAACATCAGCAAATAAGAACGCTATCAAATGCCATCACTTCTGATCAATGTCAATGGCACGGCACTTACAACAATAAAAAATCTAGAGTTTAGCAAACGCTAAAATGTTTCGAAATTTAGGTGGTAGTAAACGAGCTTTCAAATTACTCAGAAGCATATATGTCAAGCCAAGAACATAAGCACACGAACTTACACTGCGTGGATGCAATAGCCTTGACCCAAAGAAAAGCAACAGCAACAAGGCAAAAAAAAATAATTCATTGCAAATATTTAAATGCCCCTCACCCAAGTATGTCTTTGTGCTCGGAATGGGAGCAAAGAGCGGAAGAGGAAATGAACGCGCACAGTTTCGCTGGTGAAGCCTCAAGGGAGTTGATGAATACTGCAACATGACGAAAGCAACAGAAGCGCACCACTTGCCATCGAACAAAAGTGAATTTAACGAGTGGAGTCAGATGCACGCGGTTGATGTTCCACCATTAGTATATTGGTAACTTGTAACACTTTTGTGAAACCTTTAGCCTTGAATCAAAAAATATAATAAATTCGCAGCTTGCGATTGAATAGATAGTTCCTTAAAGCCAGCTTTGCATACTAAAATAAACTTCTAGCAAAAATGTTTTTTTTTCAAACGCTAAAAAATTTCACTCTTTTAAAATAACGCGAAAAGTTATTTAGTTTTGTCATCAAATACTCATTGCAACGTCTACTGGAACCAAGTAAGAAGGCAGCACAAAAGTATAAGCAAAATCACGTACCTGCGACACACATACATACAAAACATGAGTAACAGAATAGAAAAGAAAATTTTCATTTTTCTCCCGTTTCTACCTCAAAACATCAAATGGCACATGAAAAATTTGCAACAGAAATTTATGGTGGTAACTCAAGCTCACGCAGCTGATGCTAAATGATAAGAGACGCAACAGCAGGTGCCAAGTATACCAACTTTACCACGATTTTAGACCCACGTTGTACGTGTTATAGTGCGAATATGCTAAGGCACAAAAAAATTAAGAAGAAAAAATAAACACAATACTTAAAAAAAAAGTTCTAAAATTCAGCATTACGCAAATAGCTTGGAGATAGTACCTAAGTGCCATAATAACCTTTGCCCACAACCAAATGTATTTTAACCCAAAGATGCTGCAGTCATCCTGCTTCAAATACATGCGAATTTCTCCCTCCTCCTATAGCAGATAATAAATTGAAACTAAATTCGAAAGTAAATACATATTTGATAAGCCAAAAAAATATCGCAAAGTATGTTTGATCTAAACGTAACAACAACAGTAACACTACTTCATAAAAGACAGACTTGCTTGTACATATACGCAAGCTCACTACTAGCATAAATATATATCCACTTTTGTATACCTATGTCGCATTTTCGAAAACCAAATTTCATCGTTTACAGTTTGATTACAATATTTTTCGATATATCTTCTTTAAATGCAACTCTATATCACAAACACCACAACAATGAAAAAGTTAGAGCGCTTAGAACGCGCAGCTTCAATGCATTTTCAAAAGTCAGAAACAAATTACATCTCTTTCATGTTCATCCACATATGTTATGTCCGTCCATGCACATTTTATTTATCAGCTAAATCAAAAAAATTCAGTTAAATATAGAAACTCATAAAAACTGTGTTGACATTCAAAGCATCGCTCACTCATTTGCCGCGAATGCTCGTACACTTACAAACATACTTGCAAATAATATTGAAGCGTTGGGGTGGCCGGACATATAAAAATAGTTGTTTCCCATTTAAATGCAAGTTGCTGGGCTTGTTTTCGTTGTTGTTTCTTCTAATTCCATTACGTTATTTTGTCAACATTTCGTAATTTGCGCAATGAATGCAACACGAAAACAACAAAAACGACTCAACAACATATTTTGCACAAATATTTATTTTTTGGTGAAAAACCAACAAATTTATTATTTGTTAATGGTCAGCCTCAAAGCAAACAAAGTAAAATGTTTCAAAATGGAACGAGCAATTAAGACTAACTAAAAACAAAAACAGACACAAAAGTAAATACTTGCTACTAAAATATGTTAATAGCAATGAATGGCCAACGCCAGCCACCACATCAACACAAGCATATGTACACACAAACACACCCACATGGCAGCAACAACAACCACCAACCAAAGGGAAGAAGTATTTGAACACATCCGCACAGACAGAGCAGTGCTGCGCCCACGGTTATGCGCAAATGTTTCTCATACGCCCCAACCCACTTCCGATACAACAAATTAATGTACAATTTTTAAGTTAGTTCTAATATTATTTATATATATTTTTATACAACTAACTAGATGAAACCTTGTGATCATATATGCTTTAAAATCATTTATTTTTTCTCTCTTTTGAAACTATGCAGGCAGACGAGTTAGCAGATCGATTGGAGACCAAGCTAACCCCAAGTTCTCAAACACTCAGATGCTTTATATGCTTATGTGGACGGGATAAAGATAGCAAATATGCAGTAATGGCAGCAACTTGATTGAAATCTTCTAACAAAATAGCAACGAATGCAATTTGAGTTTAGTCAACTTGCCACTGTTGATGTGAAGCAGGTAAACAAGTGAGGCGTGCTTCTGTCAAGATGAGTAAGAGCCGTCTGGTGTCCTTAGTTAAGATTTAGAACTGATATTTCGCTCATTTCATATTCTAGCCATTTTACTACTGCCGAGTCTCCATCAGTGAAAACCTGCGATCGAACTTGATGTTGGTGAATAAGGCGTAACATTTTACTCTGGAACTTTATCAATTACACGGAAATGAAATTCATTGTACTAATTAGACTTTAAGCACATATCTCAAATTTTAATAATAATAAAAGCGCAAACCGTAAAAGTTTATTTCCTTTCATAAAAACATAAAATAGAACTTCAGGTAAGGTTTTATTAAATATTTTAAAATCAAAGGAACTGATGGGATTTAAGAATTTTATGCCGGTAGTGTGAGCGACATGATTGTCATGAACCATATGCGGACCTAATGCATAGAAAGGCTGTCTTTCAACACATCTAGGTCTTTAGGAGGCCCAATATGATACCACCAGGGCTAAGGTCCCCTCACTCTATTTGCTCCTCTCTGAATGACACCGTACTTCATTCGTAAGACAAGTTTTATCCATGCAACCTTCGAGACGTCGTCCAGAAACCCTCGACCGATGGCTGCGATTATTTTCCTGTAGATAGCCGTGCAATAGCATATAGGATGTTTAAGGGTCTCCTCCTCTTCTACCTCCTGACAGCGGACAGCCTGACTAAGTCTACTTGCATGTCTACCTATTAGACAGTGGTCTGTTAGTACTCCTACTAGAGTTCTTATATCATTCGGTTTGAATTTTAACAGTCAGCATTTGCGAGTCATATGTATTAGATTTATTTTTATATTTATATTTGGGGGTATGGTTTGAGGAAGATCAAATACTTAAACGATGCATAAATTATCCAAATTGAAGTAAAAATTTTGAAGTTTTAAGTCATACATTAAATTTTATTTTTTGGGTATATTAAAATGACTATTTTGGTTAAATTAACACTCTTAGTTAGGAATAAAACCACGGAGCTTTTGAAAGCATAACGGTAAAATACATCAGATGCTAAAAACGAACAAATAATAGTTATACCTTAGTTTCAAGTGCCAAAATAACGGTGGAGTAACCTGTGACAATCGCAAATGTCGCTTTATGGTATGTAACTCCCAAGTACTGAACACGCTCCACACTCTTGACTTACTAGCATTTCCTTCCTCAGCACAAACTCATTCATTCTAACTGCCTAAGTTATTTAATTCTCTACATCAGCCAAAGGGTGTAAGGCGATGTAATGTTCTCGGAAGATTACGCACAGATATTCCAAAGCGGAGAGTAAGAAGAAATAATTGATTAATTTAAATTCTATTGGTAAAAGTTTGACACAGGACTTCGATATATGTGGTTTAAAATAAATTTTTCTTTGAGCGAAGAAATATTTGTAATTTTTTACTACGAAATGTGGAAATAAGTGGCAGCTTGAATTGTATTTGTGAAGAAAATAATTGCATTTTGGGGAATATTTTAAAGCTTATTCTAAATATTGCAATAGCTTATAATATAAAATTTATTTTTAAAATCAACGCCAAATTACCGCAAACCCACTGGTAGACATGACATTATAAATGGAAAATGAAACACCAAAAATTAAATATCCAGTTTGAAAATCGTTGATTGTTTCACAGCGGTGCTTTGTACTTCGCTCGAACACACACATCGACACATAAAAAGAACATCGCATAAAACAACGCAGGTCTTCAAAATTATATAAAGCTAGCAGTAGGTGAACAAATTGCATCAAATTCATCGGTCCATAATCATAAGCCATTGGAGACCAGTCTCCAATTTGTATGAAGTAAAAGAGAACAAAGGTGAACTTACACACACATATATCAAAATCGCAAAAAATTTTACACTCATAATAAAATTTCAAAATATTTATTGTAATACGTGAGCTACTATGCTTTATACTGGTCCCAACAGTAATAATCGGTGTATTTGAGCATTTATGCGTATTTATAAACATCTCCTGTGGCAGTGAATCGGTGCTTGCTTTCTTTGTGGCAGAAATCAGCTAAATTATTTTCGGAAAATGTGCAAAAATAGCAAATAAATATATGGAAATGCACATTTCATTTCATTTTGACATAATTTTGATCTTTTTTAAATGATCTTTGATGGTGAGGAATGAGAACTTGCATTCAACAAAATCATAAATAATTAAAATTATAGTTAAAATGGAATGCGATTAACGCCACATTGCTGCTCATTCACTTGCATCTTTAGTAAGGCGAAGAAGCAACTTGTCCTTGTCAATACTCAGTGAGCTGGAGCTACAAGTATATGGCACCCCTAGGAATATTGCTGGGACACCCGACCTCAACATTTTGTTTCTGCTGCCACAACCATTCTCAATATCTCTATTTGTGCTTGATACTTTTCTCTGAAAATGTTTGAAAATGTTTTTTTGAACTTCATACATTATATAGTGTATTATATCAGTTGACACGACGTTACAGGCCAAAAATGAACTTCAGAAATTATAAGACGTCGTGCGAGACTTCCTCGAATCTACAGTGTGCTGTCAATTAACACATTTTGATAAAACATTATATACCACATGGTTTGATGTTGCATGTATTCTGGCTTTATTTCCGTTTTTTGTATGTATTCTACCTGGAAGCGTGTGAAGTGTTTCCACTCAGCCACCAACTAACATGATACATGATGCTATATTTCAAACCACATAGTTTTTTTATGTGCATATTTCTTTTTGTGGTAAAAAAAGCGAAAGCCGCTCTGAAGCCCTGCTGGGATTTTCCAGTTTTTCCACAAATCAGCTCGGAGTTCAAACACAAAGCCATCTGCTATGTTATTTTAATGTTTTTGCTCCATTTGCTACATCTGACTTCTGATTAGCGTTTTGTTTGGTTGTGGCAAACTACGCAATCGGAGCTCCAAGACGATAAACGATAGAGTTATTGTGAATATGTCGCAACTTTACGTACAACTCTCTATATCCTCTGCTCATTTGCATGGCGATAGGAGAGTGGGTTGTCTCAGCTCCAGCTTAACTCACAAGATTAGATTGTACAGTTACAAAGATGCGGACTAGTAGAAATGGGAAGTTTTGTTGACGCGTTTGACTTATTCAGAAAATACAGACATATCCTCCAATCGAGAGTCTGCGGCAGGAATTCATTTATGCAAAAGGTCTGCAAAGCGTGCTCAGGCTGTATTAGAATACTCAGAATTGTTAAATGACTGGTTAACGAATTAAAAAAATGTATATAAATCACAACGAACATACAAAATAGTGTAGAAGTAGAAGATGACGACATAAGTAAACCAATAATTTTCAAAGGTAGATCAAGGAAAGTAATCTTGCCTAAGAGCCTAACCAGAAATCAATTGAAGTGAAATTTAAAAAAGTACAATAAAAAAAAATCGGCTGCTTGAAAATTGTATGAAATATGATTTTTGATAGAAAATATTATTTCATATTTAGTATATATGCGTTCTTCTTTTGTATGCTCTACAAGTCTACTGGGATATTTATTTTATAATATTTGACTTTTAAATTTATAAAATCCAAAAAGAACCGCAAAAGTGAAAACCCTCACCAGGTAAGGAAATGCACAGAAAATGAGCAGCAAACTGATATTTTTTAGTGCACTTTCTGCTGGGTTTTTCTTAAAGCTAACATAGCGATGACTTCAAGATAAAAAAACCTAATCTTGAAAACGATAAGAAGCGGTACTAACAATATAAACCCTTATGATTATGCGCAAGTAACACGGAAGTACCTCTTGTTTCTCATCAGTGCGGCTTATTCAACGTGTGTCCAGGCACAATTGCCTCAGACCAAGTCTCACTACCCATACATATCTAACTGAAATAATACAATGTACCGGAGTGAAAAGAGCTCTCCAATGTAGTCGAGCTTTTACACAATGTATGTTGTGGCGTTCTTTCATCTGCATTTGGTCGGGTAAGATTTTTGTTTTCCTGCAGTTGTCTACTTTCGCTGGGTCAATTCTTATAGGGCGCCTTCTGATGAAGTTTTGCTCTTGTCTCATGTGGGTGTCCAAAAGTGTTATGTGTCGGCGTCATTCATGGCATTAAATCAGCAGTGTAAACAGCCTTAGGAAGTGATGACTGTTTGGTGTTGCATCACATATGAATAATTTAGGCCCTGCAGTGTGAGAGAAGCATATGTGCGATATAGAAGGGATTACAGCCATGCAACTAAGTACAACGATACTGCTGTTAGCGTTCTTTCCTATTTCAGGCGAACGCCTTTGTACTGTGCAAGCAATGCGGGCTTTTGATTTACCTTTTCACATTAATTCAGAAAGCTTTTAAGGTGCTTATGAGGCATAATGAGTGTTGACGCTTTTTTATTTGCCTATAATTCGCCTAATTTGTGCGACATAAATTGAAAAGAGATTTTGTCTGCGCTTCATCTATGCATTTTGGTATATACATTGTAGTCTTATGAAGCTCTAAGAGTGTTAAGTATACCATTATCCAATAAATTTACTATTCTCTTTTAGGTAACGTAGCTTTGACAGAAACGTCAGAAGACTTCACCATGAATTATCAAGCTAAAAGCTTTTTACTAAAATTTCTCACTGAAACTTAAATTGTAAGTTTTAAGCTTATGTTCGTTTAGGAGGCAAAAGTTACATTCGCTATCCTTTGGAAACAGAGTAAAAGAAGTTGCCCTTATATTTTTCTAAAAAATAATTTAAGGAACTAAGCGGAACTGTTCTGCTTCAATATATTTATTAAAGACTATTTTTTTCTGAATCAGTGAAGACTGCAAAAAGCGTTATAACGCTGTAGTATACTCTTGACGTTTCCGTTCTCTGAGTATATCTAAGTTGATTTGATTTTAAAAAGCCTCACAACGCCCTTTCGCTAATTTGCCATAAACAGTTTCTGGCCACTGAAATGGATCACTGCATGCAATCAGTTACCTGCTGCTGACAAGGCCCTTGCCACAAATTCTATTGTAATTGCTTGCTGTATTGATTTCGAGATCAAAACTATGCCAATCAGTCGAAAGTTAATTATTTGCTCATTGGTAGTCACTCATAACTATAATATGGCAGCACCTATCACATACACTGTTTCGACCTCATTAGGTTACACGAGTACCATTAGCCATACACAGAAGTAGCTATGCCACGGCGTATGCGCAACTTATTTCGTTTGCAAGCAATTTGGCATTTCCATTTAAGTTTAAGGTGTAAACTCGTTTATTTGCAATTTGTCACTTGTTTGCATGGCATGGGGATAATAGAGCTTA